TGAATCTTGATTCTTCTTAATACTTGGTATAATTAGGGAAATTATTTCATTTCTTTTCTGAGTTTTAGTCATCTGTAAAAAATGGCAATAATATGCAAAACCTACATATATTTCAATGTTCTTTGGAAGATTAAATTAGTGAACTGATGTGAAAATATGTGAGATGATATCATATGGTAGAATAGCAGTAGATAAAATGCAGGTGAGTGAATCACATCAGTGAGCCAAACTTTCAAATTCAGTCTGCTTAGACATATGCTTTTGGTGCTTTTCCTTCTTTTTAAAATGAAATAAAAAGCAGAACCATTAAAAGGTTTGACTCTACTGTCTGTGTAGAATTGTCTTTTTGTCCAATGTATAATTATCCTGCACAATACAGACATATCACAGAATTTATTTTAGCATTTTGTGTTTTTCAAAAAACAAATTAAAATTTCTATTTCTAAATTTTAAAGAGCAGGTTTATAACCTACTGCCACAAAATATATTTTTAAAATTTTGTGTTCCAATAAGGATGAGGGCTAAAGACATAACTACTTTATTTATTATGTTCAAATCCTTAGAGATGTCTCAGGTGGTAAAATAATGCATGAACTAATTCATGTGCCCATTCCTTAGATCAGAGACCTGGAAGGTTAAACAGTGATGTTCCCTTGAAATAACCTCATGTAGACTGGAGCTACATGGCTCACCCTTTCTTTAGCTACATTTAACTGATCTCATTTATTGGCCTGAATGATCTGATCCATATAATTGCATATAACTTGTCAACAGTCCTCTAAGGATGATAGTTTCTTTTCCTCACAAGATAGGCATCTGAGGTTGAGCCAGTTTTCAAAAATCTCATGGTCAGGAAGAGGTAGCGTTGCATTCAGAATCAGACCTCTTGTACACCAAAGCTCTACCTTTTCATACACCCTTCCCAAGTGAATGGTCATAGAAATCTCTATGGCTTCTATTGGGAATTGAAATCAGTGTAATACACATTGTGTTCCCAGTTGCCTTGCATTGGTCCTTTCAAATGTTTTTAAAAATCAGTGGTATATAAAATGGGAAAAGGAGCCACAAGGCACAACCTCATGAGTGTGTGAGTGAATATGTATGTGCATATGTGGTCATCTAAGTCATGAGGGCTGCCAGTAATTGCCCTTTGGTTATGTGCATTGTAAAATAATTGTATATGTACTGATCTCTGGTGCTTGTTTCTGTGGCAACAATTAGATGAAAACCATGTTTACCTGTCCCCCAAATTCTTTTTCCTTAATTCATGAACACATTGATTATAAACTGTCTCTGTCCAACTTCACAAAGTTAGCAGTGTGAAAGTCTTCAAAGCACATGGTTCAAGAATATTTCTCAAGTTCGTTAACCGGAGAAAGGTTTGTCCACATCAATTAACAATGATTTAAAAAGAAAACAGGGGCCTCCCTGGTGGCTCAGGTAATTGAGCGCCATACTGTGAAGCTGTCCACAGCCTCTGCAGTGCGGGTTCCATCCCAGCCGGCCAGCGAGTATCCCACATGGTGAAGCAGACCTCTTCTGTCTTGTCCGCTGCTCCCCTCAGCAGTGCATTTTGTCAGTCTGCCTGTTCTGTTTCCCACGCTGTCTCTCGTGAATCCTCTCATCCCCCACGCATCTGGCCTGTACCCCAGATCTTGTATGAAAAATAAATCTTAAAAAATTTACAAAAAATAAAAAGAAAACAACTATTTTTCTACAGGCAATTAATAGTCAAAATAAACAGATCAGTTTGTGAGAGGAAGGAGGAATTTCAGTCTGAATAGTGGGATAATACCAACTGTGCAGATGAATATGTTTGCATGTTTTTTATTCATACTTTGAAAATTTCAAGTTATCCGATTTAATTTTCAGACCAAAATAGTACTGGGCACCTCTATAAGGTTAATTAGCACAATTAGAACTTCATCCAAGGTGGTTGGGATGAAAAAAACAGGAAACTGTCAAAATTTCACAGGATAATCACGAAGGTATAAGTTAAGGATTTCTAGTTAATGCTTTATTTTATCCACTTTTGGTTATGCATTTATTCATGACAATAAATACTTGTTAGGGATAAAATAATGAATAAAACTATATAGTTTTGCACTCAAAATGAGTAGTCAATAGGCAATTACACTGCAGTAGAATATGACTGCTAATAATACAGCACATTTTGATAGCCCTCACTTGAAAAGATTAAGGAACTTTTTGGTAGAATTGGTGATGCAAATACATCTAAAGAATAAGTGGAGGATTTGCTGAGAAGGAACCAATGGGATGAAATGCTATGAGGAAAAGAGTGTTCATCTTTGCACATACTATCTTTAATCCATCTCAAATGCAAGCTACTAATACCTAACATTTCCACTGAGTGCTTACAATGGGTTGGACAAGTTTTAAATATTCTCTCTAGTGCTCTCAGTAACCTGATGAGGCAGATATATATTCTACCCATTGTTTTACAAACAGGTTGACATAAATGTTTGTGAGTCATTAGCTCGTTGATGGTGATTGAAAGGCCTGAAGTTGCCCAAGAGAAATAGAAAATGAAAGAATGTTAATAAATGATTCTGCAGAATTTCAGAGAGTAGACAGAGAATGAAAAACTGAAAAGATGGATGTCATGAAACTGTCATATAATAGAAACAGGAAGATTTGCATAAAGAAGATGGAAGTGGTCCAACAAGCTAGAGAAGTCAGGACCACAACTGAGGAAGATGAAATGGAGTGGGCACCAGGTTTTAGGGAGCTGAAAAAAGGGCAGACTGTAAGGAGGGAGAGGTAGTAAGGTGACTAAAATTCATTCAAATACCACACTGAAAGGAGAGGGAAAGATAGCTATACAAAAGTGGCACATGGAGCTTGAGGGTCTTTGTGGATTTGTAGGCATGACACCTATAGAAAGGTGTCTAGGGAAGCTGAAGAGGGTGTGAATTGAATCCAAGGAGGGCAATAGCTTGAACCAGAGGAGGTACATTTCTTTAATACAGTAGGAGGAAAGGGGAGAAGGTTGCCTATGAATATGGACAGGCTTATATACCAACATTCTCTATTTCAACTTTAGTCCCCATGTAGATTTTATTATAAAATTCAATCTGATGACTTAATCAACCAAATCTACTCTAATACATAGACATTCACAGAGACATTGCCTTGTGTCTACTTACCTCTTGTTTAATCACAAACCAATTAGTATTTAATTTTCATTATAAAGGACATTTTTTTTAAATAGTATAAAATGAACATATCCCACCACCTCATTTATTCATTTTTGGATTTGGCTACTGTTCTTCAACATTAAGAAATGCTGTCAGGATTTCCTACCAATGTTAATCTATTGGATTTGCCGGTGGGGGTGTGGTGAAAAAGTTTGGTGGCTTAGACATAGCATTGAAACAAAAATGTCTGCACCATCTTGGTTTTTATATTGGAATCCTTTTTGTTCAGCATTGCCACTAAAGTTATTTTCGGAACATCATATGGATTTTTCATCGAAACATCTGTGTTAACTTTTATTATCCCTGGTCTGCTTCGTAATTTTGGAAACAGATATAAAGAACGAGCAACCCAAAGCACAGTAATATAGTGGGAAGCATCCTTCATAAGTCAATTGAGGAATTTAATAATCTCTTTAGAAATAAGCTCTGCAGCTATGAGAAAAATGTGTGGGTTAAAGGCCTTCCAATTAAGAAAGGTTTCTCTGTGGATTTATAGGCTGGTGGTTCACTCTTCCTGTTCGTGTTTCCATAGCAACTGTCAGGTAGATTTTCTGCTACTTGCTAGGAAGTTGGAAATGTTGAGTCTGGTTGAGCCTTTTCAATTCAGTGAAGCTTAAATGAAATTCTTTGCAAGGAACTGGCATTTAGCCTGGGTCATTTATTCATATCTAGAAGAAAAATCAATTATAGTAATCAAATGTGCAAATTTTTTATTGGGATTATTTTTGGTACATATTTTGTGCTGTAATCTATTTTTAATGCCAGGGTACTAAAGGTTTGAAGGGCTGCAGCTGGCCTCTTCGTTATCTGATGGCTTGTGGCTTTAATTACAGCCCAAGACATAGGAAGGCATGCCTTTTTCTGGTCTCCTTTTGCAAGCTATAATCACCCCTGGTGATATTCAGAAGCAAACTAAGATCCGGGAGACTCATTAGGTTGAGACACCTATACTGCATGAAATACAATACACAACCTTTCATTCTTGTATTTTTCCTGTCCTGTTGGTTATTTGAATTAAAGCCTGGGAAATAAATAATGTATATGCTATTATTTAAACTTCTTGGGAGTACAGTATCTTCATTTTCCCTTCAGATCAAACCCACTTGGGTGTCGCTCACTATGGTTCATTTCAACCCACATTGACTGATGTCTGACAGCTCCACGTAGGATGGTGTCTTTTAATCCTCAAAAAAAAAGCATGTAGGTGGGAAAAGTGGGCGCACATGCCTCTGCTCCTTACATAACATACAATATATGCCACACGGACAGACATCTAAGGGGTATGACTTAGTGCGTTCTTTTGTTAGCATCTTTGCTCATTGGCACAGAAACAGCAGCTTCTACAGAAAATAAGGCATAGTTCTTATTTCACACTGTGCTTCTATTTATATACAGCTCCCCTGTGGACATTTCTTATAAGATATATTATTTACAACAATGGTTTTGAAAGCATATTTCAGATCATTTCACTCCATCCCTCTCGTCATTTGCATACCTTGCTTTTTAACCTATTGTATTGATGCTTCATGCTATATAGTACAATTGATCGTTAGCAAAAATATAAATAAAACAGAGTAGGATAAAGAAAGAAAGAAATTAGGGATGGTGGGAAGGTAGGGAAGTGGGGGGAGAGAGAGAGAGAGAGAGAAAGAGATTGAGACTAACAGACTAAGAGAGTTCTTTTTTAAGAAAGTCAAAACTGAAATGTCTTTTACTTACTTGTCTTACCTTGCCTTATTTTTTTTCCTCTTTGTTCTGGTAACTGTGCTTTCTTCTATTAAGCTAAATAAAAACTTTCTGAGAGGAGCAATTGAAGCTGAAGGAAGCTCACTCCTCAGTTGCTATACCAGGAAGTGGAAATGAAGTCACTCAGCTCTGCTCTCAAGTTTATTTACTCTAAAAGGTGGGCAATTTTCTCTTAAAATAAATTGTACTTGGAGTTGCATGACTCTGTCAGAAGATGCACCTGTTCCCAGGAGCAGAGCTAGAGAAAAGTGAGGTTCTGAACATCTGGATAGCAATGGACTTGCTTAGTTACAGAAATATATTAAACTGTGTAGATGCATCAAAGGCTGGAGTGTTTGATCGAGAGCATTCCTAGTCATTCTGTGACACTTGAAACTTGAGCCATTCTGGGTAAAATAATGAAATTGAAGCAGCTCACTTTGGGGAGTGGCAAGGATTAAAGTTTGGCTGCCACTACTCCAAGCAAAGGAAGTCATCCTCTGCCGTCAGGGTTCATACCTTGGATCACAGCTTCTCTCCACCTTCTTTTCTGCCCATGAAGGTGACTTTCACCCACTAGTTCCCTTCAGTCCAGCACATGGCTAGGCTGGGCACCCACCACTCATGGGGCAGAGAAGAATAGTTGAGAGGCGTGCTCATGCCTCATGCTACTCCTCAACTGATACAAGTTTGAATTCAGCAGATGAACTCTTCCTGATCCTCCTTGTTGTCCTTGAATTTAAAAAGTGCTTATGCCCAGTCCTTGAGGCCATAACTCCTGCTAAATGTACTAGCTGTCTCCCGGTTAGGTTGAACTCTAATCCTTTGGAACATTAGTGCCTATAAAAATTGAGTCATTTTCTGGGTGGAGCTCAGATACACTTCTTTGGCTTTATGATAAGACAAATCCCCCCACATCTTTTCCTTACCTATCTAGCTCCTATCATTTCTCTAATGATGGCAAATATCCTACTTAGTGCTACTGAACTGAGGCTATTGATGGAATAAAATAAGTTTTTCCTTCTTTCGTACCTCTCCAGCTCATTGCCTTCACCCCCATTATCCTATCCTGATGTTCCTTGCTTCCTTTATTTAATGCTATTTCCCCAGGTCTTTCACTTAATTAATTTGTTCTTCATTTTTTCTGAGATACCATGACAGATGCAGGAACCCTAATAACCTGTCAGTGTCCATTCCCTGTAATTCAGGTCATGACATCTTTCACACACACACACACACACACACACACACAGACACACACATTTGCTTAGCGCCATTTCAGTTGTTAGTAAGATTTTCTCTTTAGCCTTAGCAAGCCTTCCTCTGTTGTGTCTTATTTTAGAGCTCTAAGAATTATTAACTGAATCTCAGGCAGATTACCTTAACTAAGCTTCAGTTTCTGCATCTATGAAATGGACATAGTTGTATATAAATCATTGCTGTGAACATTTAGATAGTACAAGTAAAGTCTGCAGAACAGCACGTGAACTTCAGAAATCACTCCAGAAATAAAAATTTATCATACTGTTCTTGGGGAGCTTTTTGTTGCATAAAGTTCAAGCTTTACAATTACACAAATAAACGTGTTTGAATCTCTTTTCTGCTACTTACTGCCTATGTGACCTTGAGTCGATTGTATAAATTCACTGAGCCTGTTTCAGTGAGGAAAGTCAGAACTGCCTCTTAGGACTTTCAGGGGCGTTAACCCAGCAGGGGGATTTGTGGCATCCAGCACAATGCTCACCTCACAAAAATAATAGTTTTTTCTCCTTCCGTCTTAGTTGATTTTCTAGAGCATTAATTCATTATTCTTTCCATGTGTAATTTTCATGTGTGCCTAAAATAGTAACTCATAATCTCCCTCCATCTTACTATCTGCTTTCTTACATATGATCTCTTTCCTCTCTCATGCTTAGGGAAATTTGTTTCTTCAGTGCCACAAATTTTACCATACCAGAAGGCAAGCAATCTGTCTTCCAGTTCCTTCCACTTTACAAAGATGAATGAATATTTTTAAGAGGCTGTTTCTAAAAGCAAGGGAGCATTTCTATGCACTGACCATAGGATGGAGAGTCATGAAGACAGTACGTATTAGCATTGCAGGGGGTGGAGATTAAGACACTATGGCCTTTGAGCACCCCTACCCCAAGGAAGCCACTCTCCACTTGAAATGTGAAACTATCCTGTTAGTAGGGGTGTGAAGCACTGGGCTGACTTTTGCTCAGTTTTTGGCATCTTTATCCCAGTTTCACTTTTGGAATTTTTTTTAATTTCATCCATCCCGGATGTGGTCCTAATTCCCTTGTTAAGCTCACAGTCTCTGTAAGTGCAAAATTTGAAATTTTTCTTGTCAAATCTGCCCCTTCCAGATTGGCTAACTCGAAGATCAGAGCTTTCTGCACAAGAAAAGACTTCCTGGCTCCATGTGTCAGTTCCTTTTCATGTAGCTGGATCTTTCAATTTGTAGCATAACCCCTGCAGCACTATAGAGAAAAGATGATATGTCTGAAATGCTGAACTGCAGTCACCCCTGTCTGCCATTATGTTTCCACAGGCATTCTATAAAAAGCTGCAAAACCAAGGGATCTGATATCTGAGACCTGAAATGGCTGCAATCACTCAAAGGCACCCCTTTTCCTATCTCTTGCTGATTGACCCTTTCCCATTGTGCCTTTCAGTACACAGCCTACAACTCTATATTTAGGGCAGTGACCAACCATATATGCAGGCGCCAAACACTTCTCTCTCTTCTCTTGGATAGCTTCCCCTGTGAGTTTGGTGTTAGACTCAGAAGAACTACATTCCTCTCTCAGCATGGCAACTTACTGTATGATATTATACACTTTACTGGAACTTTCCAATGTTTCATGCCTTATAAAATAATAAACTAATATTAATGAATGCTTGCTGTCTACTGCATAGTATTCTAAGTATGGTGTGTGAGCATCCACAGGTACAACAATTCTCTTAAACCTCACCACAATATTAAGAATGGAGTTCTATTACAAATGAGGAAATTGAAGGCTAAGCCCTCTCAGGTGCTAAGTGATGGAATGGAGTATTTTGTTCTACAGTCCACATGTTTAATCATAAATTACTTGTTTGTAATATATACAGCTATTGTCAAGTCTCATTATTTGCAGTGGGTAGGTTCTGTAAAGTCCTTTTGAACACTAAATTAGCAATTGAACCATTGCTCCTAGGGGAAATGCAGCCTTGGGTTCCTGCAAAACCTCTGCTCACATTTCCATCAACCCTGTTTTATGTGTTCTGTTTCAAGACACCTCACTTAGTATATATTGTTGATTCGTTAATATTGAACTAACAATCAACAACACTGTAATTTACCTGAAGGACGTTCACCTGGTACATGTGTTTTGCTATGAGGTAAATCCCATCCTTCTTGCACTTATGAACATTCAGCACTATTTGGGAGCCATTTTCAACTGCAAAAACCACCCAAAACTCAAACATAAAAAAATGGTACTAAGTGAACCTACAAAAGGATACTTGATTATAGTATTCAAGCTAAAACAAGATGACAGTGTCACCTTGTTTGACCTCAGCAGGGATATGTGCATTGGGGGACTGAAATATTTTGCTGCTCTGCTCATGTCCTCAAATAACTATAAAAACATTGGGACTATTGATTTGGGGTTCAAGTCAATTTTATCAAGTAGGTCAATTTGTAAATACAGAATCTGCAACAATGAGGATCATCTGTAAATAATAACTTTTTAAAATCTCAGATCTTAAAACAAAAGTTGGGCTGGTAGTTGGGGTTGAGAGGGTTAGAGTTCAGGTGAGAGCACTCCCACACAAAGGCTTGGGGCTGTGCCACTGCCAGCACTGGTATTTTACCAAATCAAAACAGGAGATGAAATATTCTGATCAACTATCTCCATAGTGAATGAGAATTTTAACTCAGGAAATACTGGTTAAATCTTGAATCCTCATTTTGCATTTCAGAAAGATGTTTTAATTCACAGTTTTGCAACCTCTTTGTCAACAACTTATATTTATTCTTCTCTGTTATGGATTATAATGGTGTGTGAGTAGTGGGTTTATTTTTCATTGTAATAACATTGTGTATTAGAAGTATAGGATCTCCCCCATGAGGTATTATTACAACACTGAGCCCACTGTAATCTGTCACCAAGACACCTGTATTCTGTCACCACAAGCCATTATACTCCCTCCACACCTTGCTCTCACCTCTCTGCTTCCCTTTCTCCCTAAGTTTTATCTAGATTTCTAACGTTAGTTCTTAGTTTGTCTTTATCTGACCCTTTCTTTGGTCTCATGATATTCCAGATAGAGGTGACACCATCCAGTAATTGTCTTTCTCCTTCTGACTTACTTCACTTGGTACAGTCTCCTCTATCTCTATCCATGTTGCTGCAAATGGCAAGATTTTATATTTTGATAGCTAAATAGTATGCTGCTCCATCAATGTAACACATTTCCCTGATCTCATCTGTTTTGGGGAACTTAGGTTATTTCTTCCACTTGACTATTGTAAAGAGTGCTGAAATGAACATGAGAGTGGATGTTTCCCTGTGAAGCACTGTTTTTATGTTCTTTGGGCAGAGTCCTAACAGTGGAATTGCCGGGCTGCATGGTAGATCCATTTTTAATCTTGTGAGAATCCTCCATACTGTTTTCCACAGGGGCTTGACCAGTTTATTCCAACAGTACATGAGAGTCCCTTTTCCTCCACACCCTTACCAGCACTTTTTGTTTCTGGTCTTTTTGAAATGGGCCATTCTCACAGGTACAAGGTGGTATTTCATTGTGGTTTTGATTTGTATGTCTCAGACAATAAGTGATTTTGAACATTTCTTTGTGTGCCCATTGGCTGTCAGTATGTCTTCTTTGGAGAAGTGCATATTTAGTGCTTCTGCCAACTTTATACACAATACATCTTCCCTATTCAGTTATGTGTATATATATTATATAATATATACACACCAACATATATATGGTGCACATACACACACATATATATATCCAAAAGGGCAAGTTTATTATAAAAAGGGTACAGCGTGTAGAGCACTGCACTGAGAAGCTGTCCACAGCCTCTGCAGCAAGAGTTTGATCCCCGGCCAGCCAGGGAGATACCAACATAGCGCAGCAAACCTCCCCTGTCTCACCTGCTGTTCCCCTCAGCAGTGTCTTCGATCTGTCTACCTGTTCTGTTCCCTGCTCTGTCTCTGGTGAATTCTCTCACCCTCCCGCGCCTCTGAATTGTACTCCAGTTCTTGTATAAATAAATAAATCTTTTAAAAAAAAGGAAGAGAATAAAGCATGCTTGCACAGATGTAAGTGGGCAGCGAGAACTGGCCCTGAAAGGGACAGGTTTGTTAAAAGAGAAGATTTAGTATGTTCCACTTAATTACTCTCCTCTATAACTTCCTCTTCTGAGACTAACAGAAAGGTGGTAGTCATTGCTTTATTTCACAGAGTTTTTGAAAGGATCAAATTAGAGGTAAGAAAGTGCTTTCAAAAGTATAAGATGCTATGCAACTATAAATAATTTTTATTAAGATATAATTGAGATATAACATGTTAGTCTCATGTATATAACTTTATGATTTGAATTTTGTATATACTGTAAATTGATCACCACAATAAATCTAGTTAAGATCCAGCACTACACATGGTTGCAATTTTTTTCTTGTGAGAACTTAAGATCTGCCACCCTGGCAATTTTCAAATACATAACTTATTTTTATTATCATTGGCCAGGATAATTCATTATACTGAATGTTCCTGAAACCCAGCAATATACTAATACACAGGAAAATATACACTCATTTTCAGGCAGTAACAAAGTTTTGGTATAAAGAGTATTACATTTTTATATGTAATCACCAGTTGTCATCTGTAGAATAGGATCCCAGCTTGTAACCATTTGGTTCTTTGCCTTTGACAGCAGTGGTCGGACAATTAAGCATACAGGAAGTCATTCCAGTTCTTTTTCTGTAGTCTGAGGTTTTTTAAATACAATGAAAGTATTTGGATGAATTTTAATGGAAATAGCATCCTTGATATTTACAAGATTATCATTGACAACAGCCAAATCTTTTAAATGCCTCTTTTCAAGTTGCCATTGCAAAGCATGAAGAGTCACTGCATAGGATAGCCATTCATGCTTCCTGCCTGAATACACAGCAATATATTTTCAAGCAAGCATATGGACGGCTGTAACAGATAATTTTAACAACTCCTCAGATTCAGAATCTGGTTGCCTCTCTGTTTTCAAAGGTTAAGTAAGATGTATGTCATTTGGGAGGCCATTATCTGAATAGACACTGAACATATCAACCCACAGGTGCCCATACAAGCCCTTAACCAATATTGGTTAATGAACAGAGTGATCCCCAGTGCATAAGTCATTTCCTAGTGGTAAGGGAGGTATTTTGTGGGGCATATTTACTTGTCTGAGCCATTAGAATTCAATTTAGTGCCTTCTACTTCTGGAATAGAATGTAACCTGCACATCTGGCCATGTCTGCTCAAACACTAAATGATGCCCAGTGGAATGGAGGAGTGATAGAAAGCTATTTCCCTGAGCTGAGAACAGATTAGCAAATAGTGAGTTCATCACTGGAGATAACAGAGCCTAATGGTTGTCTTTGCCTCTTTCCTTAATACTGAAGAGCAGCGTTTTCTAGTTAACACCATGTGGTTCTGGGGCTCCATGTGCCCAGCCATCATGTGCTTCTTTCACTTAGCAATGCTGGTGTCTACAGAATACCATTCTGAAACTGCTCTCATCTGTTCTGCAGAGAACAGGCTGATAGCTTCTCCTGATGACATCCGTCCTCCCTTCTACAAATTTTATACTGCTTCTCATTCCAGAGAATTTTTTTTAAGTTTGGCTCCACAATGATGTATAATAAGAATGTTTGAAAAATATATCCTCTTCATTAAAAGAATTGACAGACAATTACACCAAAAGTTATAATATCTTATTAATAACTTTCAATTGCACCACCTAATATTTAAGTCTATCAGAAGCTTAGCCTTCTCCCTGAGAGAAGTTAGAAGGCAGGCACTGAGGATTCAAAGGTGGGAATGATGGTTCCTGGCTTTAGAATAGTGACAGTAGAGTAAAAACAAAGGTTAGATTCACCAAGGTACTGGGCACTGGCATAGAGTTTAGAAACAATGTCTGCAAAAGCAGAGAAAAAGTGAACCACCTCGAGGTTCCAGGGAAGTTTTCTGGAAAAGATGTTTCCTGTGCATTTTAAGAATGAATATAAATACATCAAATGAAAATTCTCGGACAGAGAACTTGCACAAGGTGCAAACATAAAGAACCTTTATGTACAGCAAATGACCAACACCTTGAAACTACTCGAGGATAAATGTCCTTTGAAGAATAAAGGAAAATGAGAGTGGAGAAGGAAGTGGGGTCAAGTAAATGTCATGTGCAAGAGTTTTGACTTTATCTTTTGCCAGGGGTGTCATTTAAGGGTTTTGGATGAGGAAATGAAAGAATGGGGATTTGTTGTTAAAATCAGTGTTCTGCTTTCACTTTGATCAGGATGAAGGTAAGGAGCCAACATCAGAAGTAAAAAGTCACATAAACAGAAACAGACACCAGTGAGGAAACTACCACAGTCACACAGGTAAGAGCGGGGTGAGAATTTATCTAGGAAAACTATATCAGAAAGAAGATGAGCCAACCAATTCATGGAATTAATTCTGAATCAATGAGTGGGAAGTTTATTGGATGGGTTTGAAAGAATAAGAAAGGAGTCCTGAAGCAGTATGAGATGTGTAAGATGTAAGATGTTGTAAGATGGTGTAAGATGGTGTTGATGTTTCTAGTTTAAGTCCCTGGGTGGGTTAGTAATGTTCACCTACAACTGAGGGTTAGCCAGGGACCACAAACTATTAAGGTGTGCAACTCTAAAAGGGGTCCTGCCATCCATGCACACAAAGGCAAAGGAAGCAGATACTTAGTGTGAAAGCTTTTTAATAATTAGTATGCATAGAGAATGAGATAAAAGGATTTCAAATAATACATTCCCAGAAAACTCCCTAAATTACCCATCTTCTTGTGGGCAAATATACCTGTAAATAGGGTTGGCCTGAAACAAAGCTAAAAGGACCAAACCTTGCTACTGATCTAAGGTACCTTTTGGCAGAAACTACAATAATGGTGTTGGGCAGGTCTAGAGAGCCTCAACTGAAAGAGATATTAAAAAATTCAAAATGCACCATATATCCAACATGAAGTCAAGATTCTAGTGCTATTATATTTGCCAGGGACCAGAAGCAGCCTCTCCACATGTCTCTCACCCCTGGGCTCTTCCAAGTATTTTTTTTCAAGAGTCTCTACATGCCTCTCCTCTTTTGTTTCAATTCGCTTTATATATCTAACCCACTCCTTCCTAGATATGCCCATTCAGGAACTCCCATTCATAACATGGAACATGTAATCCAAGGTAGCTGCATCTAAGTAGGGAAGGGATAATGGCACCTCTCCTTCATGGAGCGGTATCTGTAATGGTATTGCAATGTATGAGATTAATGAGACCAGGAAGAAAAATAATTAGGGGTGGTTTGAGAACTTAAATTCTGTTTGGAGCCTACAGCACCTATGAAATATTCAAATGTAACTGAGCATTTTGGTGACGTTATATGTATAAAGTTCAGGAGAAAATCATAGATACAATTTTAGGATATGTTTAAATATATTATTACTTGGCAACTATCCTAATTTATGATCTTTATGCTTCAATTAAATATTAAAGAAGCAACTTAAATTCCCCAAGCTAACTTATGTGATAGTGGTATGATTATCATTATAATAGTAATTCTTATGTTTCTTTGAAGGTTTCTTTCTTATGTTCTTCAAAGACTGACACTTTTTGCAATGAAGTAACTTTTGGTCATTAATTTATTTGTAAAAAATGTAAAATATGCTCATTTATAATAGTGCATTATATGACCAAAAAAAAAAGAGAAAGCTCTCAGCACTCAATATATTCATATTCCTAAGTATCAGATATTGTTTACTTAAAGTAAATCTGACTGTCTTTCATATCTAAGTAGCAAAACCAAAATATTATTCACTCTACATTGAAGGTCTCATATTATTTGGAGGTATATAGCATTTGATGGTTTTTTTGTGAATAGTTCAATGACTTTGTATTAAGAAAGAATCTTCCATTCCCATTTTAACATTTCTTTCAAATATCTTAGATGATTGCGAAAATATTTTTCTAGACATCTATGGAAAACTTTATTGTAAAATATTTCAGCTTCTTCTTATTTTTCTTATCATAAAAAGAGAATAAATGAATCTATATCTATTGTTGCTATGGTAACTAACATATTTTATATATTGAGAAAGAACATGAACGTTTCTAAATGTATTTCTATCCTTATGATATATGTCTCAATATATACAAGACTACAGACATAGGGTGACTTTAAGTCCAGGAGACTGAGAGAAGCACTCTTCTTGTAGCTATTCTGTACAATCAGCCTTACATAAAGACATGCCATTAGACTTAGTTCTTGTGTTTAGTTTGATGGGCATGGACTGTACACATTATACAAGAAAGGAATTAATTACTGTTATTTTGAAAGAAGATTGGAAAACATTCCTAACAGAATTTTTATGCTTCAACTGTTTATTAAGTTCTATAAATATCTATGTATTTTAAAATAGATTGGAAATCTGAAAATCATTGGTAAATCACCTATCTTCCTGAGGCCCAGATTGGTTCCAAACCAAGCACATTGCACATATATATTAATTAACACATATTTATGACAACTTTTCTCAATTTACAATCAGTGCTAGATTAATAATCTAGTGGAGGTGACAGTTGCATACCAAATAATTGTGCAAATGAAAACTGTCAGGACAGATATGTGAACAAGTTATCATAGGAACAGAGAAGGGTCAACTAAACCTGAAGGATCAAGGAAGATTTAGGGTGGGAAGGAGGATTGGGGAGTGTGGTGATACCTGAATCAAAAAGAATGAGTTTCACATATACCTGAAAAAAAATAATACTTACATAGACAATTGAGCTAACATTTAACAAGTACAACAAAGAATATTTACTGTGTACCTACAAACCTCTGTGTGTGTGTGTTTGTGTGGGCATGCAGTGGGGAAAAAATCGAAACAGCTATATGATTGGGCAATGAATTCTTTTCAACTCTACTGAATTTATTGAACTTTTATTAAATATCAGATACTTGGCTAGATTCAGAAGTGAAACAAACCTTGAAAAAGAGTTTTAGGGCCTCCCTTGTGGCGCAGCGGGTTGAGCGCCAAGCTGTGAAGCTGTCCACAGCCTCTGCAGCGCGGGTTCGATCCCAGCCAGCCAGCAAGGGTCCCACATGGTGCTGCAGACCTCTCCTGTCGCGCCTGCTGCTCCCTCAGCAATGTATTTCAGTCAGTCTGCCTGTTCTGTTCCCCACTCTGTCTCTGGTCAATTGTTTCACCTTCCTGCACATCTGGCCTCTCCCCAGTTCTTGTATAAATAAATATTTTTTTAAAAAAATAAATAGATAAATAGATAAATAAATAAATAAATAAATCTAGATGGGACAGAAGTTGAATGGTGTTTGCTACACTCTGGGAAGAGGGAAGGATAGGGAACTATTTTTTAATGGGCACAGAGTTTCAGTTTTGCAAGACTAAAAGTGTTATGAAGATAGATGGTGGTGATGGTTATACAACATTATGAATATATACACTACCACTGAGCTGTTAAAAATAGTTAAAGAAAATAAATGCTATGTTATGTGTATTTTACCACAATGTTTTTTAATATTTAAAGTCATTATTAAAAATAATAAAATTCCAAAATCTAAAAAAAATATTAGAAATATAAATTTAAAAAATACAAAATAATAAATCCATATGAATTTCTCTTTATGCTATATAGAAGAACACAAAGCTAATCTGGCTTGATTCAGTAATTTAATAAATATCTTTGGTAAAGTAGATTTAAGTTAAGTCTGAAAGTTCCTAATCTTTCTGCTTATTTCAGGCACAAATAGGCTAAGAATTTGGTCTTGAAGTAGGAATGTGCAGTGATTGAGACACTTTTTGGCCCTGCTAATAATACAATGTGTAATTTGAACAAGTTTATGGTGTTGTGAACTGTTTGCAACTGGGTTTTGCAGAACTGGAAAAGTTACGTTTGCTAGTAACCTCAGGAGGTTAATACAGTCATTTCCTTTACGGATTATCAATCTTCCATTAGGGTTGACAAGGCTGATATCCCACTATGATTATTTTCCCTGACCTTAACAGATTATAAAAAGATGCTGAACAGATTAGATGTTACTAATTTTTTTCCAGGTACAAAGCTAATTGGATAAAAATTCCTGAGACCCTACCAAAATTCCTATAATGCAGCGAGATGGGAATTAATTTTTGCCCAAATGTAATATTTGTCTCATCTTTAAGTAAAACTATCCTGTGTACTATTTCTCCATTTATAGCCAAGAGAATTCAACTCCAGGCAGGTGGTTCTGTTGAAAGATAAACAAACTTGTAATAACCCCCCACTGGTTTATAAATGGCCAACTGTGATGACATGGTGGACTGCAGGTGACTGAACCCATCCAGGGATGTTGGTCATTTATTACAGGACTGGGGACCCTACAGTGTCTTTTGGCCAAGGAACAGCTGGTGCTCTCAGCATTTTTATCTCTTAACAAAAAATCAAAGTCAGTGATCATATCAACTAGTGAAAAACATCAGGTGAATTTTCATCTAATATACCAGACTCCAAAAATACATCAGAACTGCCTTTACCTAATGTGCTGATTGATTTCTGAGGATCTTTTAGAGGATTTTGTTGAATATTCTTGACTTTCAAAATGTGATTTGGTCTCGTTAGTGTGACCTCAGGCATCTTAGGGACACATGCCTCCTCGCTTTCCTCATTGCTCCTTTTTCTGACTCTCCCCAGCACTGGTATGAGATCTTATACATTCTTACATTAGAAAAGAGTAGATAAGGAATCATAAGAATTCCTCTTTTAGGAGTGGATTAGTAAACACCCTTTCTCATGTCCATTCCCATCCATGGGCTCATTACGTCTTTATACCATCCAGTTAATAAAATCATATTTGCTCTTCTTAACCCTAATTTATTAAATCTATTATGGTATGAGTTATTCAGTTATTCAAGTAGTCCCAAATCCATTCTTTACAATTGTATTTTGACTGTTCTCATCTGAGGCCTCTCTTCTGATTTCTGTAAGTATCAAGAATGTTATGCAACTGGCATCTTTCCAATATATGGCCCTATGCAGTGTACAAGCTACTGTTCATCAGAAATGAGGGAACTGCCCTTGGAAAGTACGTGTAAGAGATAGGTTAATTAATCACAACATAGTTGTCATGTAGGGATGTAGCCCAGAAATGAAACTTTTCAATACATTTTAGTACATTTTTAGACAAAATAGCAGCAAATTGCAGCAGCAGGTGAAGCTGGTCAGGTGTTTGAGAAGTTAAAACATCGAGGAAGTTATGTAATGATTGGGAAGCCTCTGAAAGTTTATAACAGAAAACTAGTATCGTAAGACTTCCAACATAAGAGTACACTCTGTGAGAAACACAAAGACTAGGCTTAAAACAAGTGAAA